GTTGGAATAAAGAACAGCTCACTGTAGAGACCAAATGAACCAGGGACCAGGGCTTCAGCAGATCAGGTATCTAGGACAAGTTTTCAAACCATACCCTGTCATTAAAAAAATATAGGAAGAATTGGTTTTTTAAAAAAAAAAAAAAGAAAAGGAGCATCTTGTTCTTCTTACTGTGTTTATGTACTGTGCGATTTTTTTTTTGTTTCTTTTATATGTTCTTCCCCCATGGTACAACCCTTGTTGTTACTGTATTTGATTCTGGTGCCCTGCATCTTGTATATACATTTTTCTAATTTGGGGAGGGGAAGGGAAATAACAAAATGCTGAAATAAGGATACAGGTTGACCCATTGTAACAATGAGATGCTCAAGACACTATGTTGAAAACGAACTTTACAACTTTGTTGGGGCGAGTGAAGGAGGGAGGAGTTGGGAGGTGGGGAGGAAAGGGATGGTAGGGGAATTGTAAAGGAGGTGTAACAAGGCTTAATAGGAAATGGACTCATTACCTTGCCCATGTAACTGTAACCCCTCTGTACAATATCTTTACAATAAAAAATATATTTAAAAAAAGAAGAAAAAAAGGAGCATCTACATCCCCTTTTCATATTCCCTCTGTGCTGATGTTAGAGGCATACCCTAATGCTCCATGCAATGAAATTTCAAATTAGATCTTGTCTTAAACTGTCTTTGATATATTTTTCGTATTACCTCTGAGAAACAATCATTTTCTATAAGATAAACTTCTCTTAGTTTCCATGTTTGTGGAATTGCAAAGCAAGGAGGAAGTAGCAAGTACGTACATGGATACAGTTATAACAAATGATAGGATTTGGGAATTTTAAAAATTTCACATTCAAGTTCAATTAGCTCATGGTTGCAGATAAGGAAAATGAAATTCAAGAGAACATGTTGTTATGCAACTAATTACTGGAAAACCAGTGATGAGGACTGTGACTCTGGCTGGACTTATTTCTCTGTGAACATTTATGAATTTGTACCAGTGCTTTTTCAAATGTTTGTACTTTTCTTCTGACAACAATGTAAAGACACTAATAATATATTCCTGTATGTACTGCATCAAAATAACCTCTTGTTACTTCTGAATTGAAACAGTGGTGAATCCCTCCTTTGTATCGAGCACCACAGTACAGGTGAGCCAAATGCAGACAAGGCTGCTCCAATGCAGGGAGCACCATACTTGCACTACAATAGTCTACATGACAGAATTCTATCTTCATAGATATTTGTTCTAAACCAGCAAATTTTGTTTGTTTGTTTGTTTTGTTCTGGTCTTGGGTCTTGAACTCAGGGCCTAGGTACTGTCCCTGAGCTTCTTTAGCTCAAAGCCAGCACTCTACTATTTGAGTTACAACACCACTACCAGCTTTCTTGGTTTCACAGACTTTTCTACCCAGGCTGGCTCCAAACCATGATCCTTAGATCTCATCCTCCTGAGTAGCTAGGTTTACAGGTATGAGCCATCAGTGCCCAGCTGCAAGTGGTTTTTTTATTCATTCATTCTCAGCAATAATTTGATACCCACACAGGCTACAATGCAAGCTTTATCCTCAAATTCACGGGACAATTTTGCTTAATTGTAAGTGATACTACATTTAAAATGTCTTATTCCTAATCAGAATATTTAGATAAATAAGAGCCTAAATAACCCAGCTGGGACCTTGAATTCATTTAATACTCTTGTGCCCAACATGTTTATGTAAGTGATATTCTTTACAATAGAATCATTAAAGCCAAATTTCTGAAACACTAAGTATAGGATAAAACCTGAGATTAACAGTGCCTGAGTATACTCACTATTAAACTTTAGTTGGTGTAAAAAATATAATTTTCCTTATGAATGTATATTGTTCATTTAAATATTATTAGATTCATGCTCTAAAATTTTTAATTTGCAAAATTTTTCTTGTCTCAATAACATAACTTATAGCCCATTTCCCTAGTTTATAGGTATTTTAAAGAAACATTAATATGAATATAAAATGCAAACAAGGTAATTTTATTCTTGGAAATTGTGATACTTTTTCCTACTGGCAAAAAGGCTTGGTATCACCACCTAGAGAACCAGTGGATGCAGACAGCACACTTCCTCCATGGGCACTCCACCGCTGAGAGACAGGCTAGTCTAGTGGAAGGAAAGGCGCAGGATTTCAATTCCAGAATCCCAGGTTCAAATTCTGGTTTTGCTAATAATTACTTGTGTCCATTAAGTCATGTATTCTCTGTCCCTCCTGTTTTGTTTTATTTTATTTTCATTGACAAATTCAGGATGAAGGAATTCCAAATCCTTCTGCTTATTGGAACCAGGTAGAGAGTAATTAAACAAAATAAACCATCTGTAACTATTGGTGACAGAAACTAATTTAAAGAACATTTATCTAGTACCAAAAAAAAACCCACTGTGAAACTTTTATTTAGCACTATAGGCAAAAACAGCAGATCTGTGGATTCAATTCCATCTGGAAGTTGCCCATTTGTGGTTTCTAGAGCAAATAATCTTTGTTGCACCTTTCCTAAGTCTAATACATTACTTGTACTGACTCTTTTATAAATGAAGTATAAGCCGCAGCTATACACCAGTGCAAAGTGGCAGTAGAAACAGGAGGAAATCCTCCAGAAGGCTTCAGTATGTTTCAGTATTTTAAGACTGATGCAGTATCATATGCAAGAAAAAGGCAAAGAGGAGCCTGCGCAATGTATGAACTAAGTAAGTGAGGGTAAAACAAAGCAAGCTAGAGATTCCTCTTTGTCCCAACTGATGCAACCCAAGGTTCTGTCTAGCTTGAAATTCCTGTTTAATTCTCTAGCATTACATTTCTCATCCAAGCCAGAGATTCATTCACATCCAACAAAACCACCATGGGCTAGGCATTGTGCCCAGTACTGGAAAGAACTCTAAAACCATACTCATTTCTTTCCTTTTCAGTAGGGAATACTTTTGAATGCTTGTTTTTCATTGTTATATAGTTTTTGCCCTCAATTTGTTCCAGGTGTTATTGATAAGAAGTTAATTCCAATTACAAGTGGAATATTAGATAAGGTGTTTGTTTTCCCCCCCACCTCTGTTGAGCGTTTGACAAGAAAGCATGTAATGTTTTTGAAACAGATGCTGTCTTCACAGAAACGATGCAGTTTCTGATGTGTACTCTAACTTTAGGAGGGTGTGTTCTAGTCTGTTACAAATTAATTTCTGACTTTCTGAAGAATAGTTTGCATTTAGCACAGAGACTTTCTGCCACTGATCAGAGTATTGCTTTTTATGGTCATTCTTTGTTTCTACACTTGTGTGGTCTTGTTCATGATAGGCACAAATAAAAGTTAATTTCAGGGAATAAGCCACAGGGGGGAAAAAGAAAAATAAATAACTGCAAACAGTACACTAAAAAAAAGCTCTTGTTTCCATTTCTTAGAGTTCATCTCGATAAGCATCATTTTATATGTTCATATGCACATAGCTGTTGAGCTACTGTGATCCTCTGCTAAGAATATCCTAGACGTATTTTAGTTATTACAAATGAGGAAAAACATACAGTTACTGTTTTTGATTTCTGTGCCCTTTATCTTGCATATAAGTTTATCTGAGTTGGGGAAGGGAAGCAGAAGCAGACTCACAGAAATGGTGGGACAAAGGGTGAAGCCATGCAACACTGATACTAGACATTATGTTGGAAATGAACTCTACAGCTTGAGGGGGAAGGGAGCTGGGTGGCGAGAAAGTGAGAGAAATGAGGGAGGGTGTAACATTATTCAACAAGAAAAGTCCTCTCATTACTTATGTAATTGTAACCCCCCTTTACAATATTTTTTTTAAAATAACTGTCAGCCAGTCACTGGTGGCTCACGCCTATAATTCTAGCTATTCAGCAAGCTGAGAGCTGATGATCGCAGCATCTTGAAGCCAGGTGTATCTCAAGGAGTAGAATGCTAGCCTTGAGGAAACAAAAAAGGCTTATAAACAGTACCCAGGCCTTGAGTTCAAGCCTGAGTTACTTGAGTGCCCATGTGCTTGCATGCACACATACACACACAAAGTAAATGTCAAACTTTGGTTCCATTTCTAAACTCACTCACTATAGATGTTTGTATTAACCTACAAGCTTCGAGGTATTTAATTAATAGATACTTAATTTTATACATATTTTCAAACATAATTTGAAAATAACAAATGAGAAATAAAAAGGAAGAAGAAGTTAGGCTGTCCCTGATAGCTAGCTGGTCATCCCATTTATGGTATATTAATCACATTTTTTCTTGTAATTGGCTGCTTCCTATTTTAAATGTATTTTGTTCATGGCTGCCTCCTTTTTCTCAGCTTATTAGCCTTGTAGTCACCACATTCTCTGTGACTTCAAAATCAATTGTTATTTTTATCAAAAGAGTTTGTGAAGTGTTTAGTTGTGAGAGTGTCAAATAGAGTATGGACTGGCCATGCTATGAATCCATGTGGACAGAACACTTGGGTTATATGTTTTTGAGAGATTTATGTTTATAGAGATTTAAATTTATAGAGTGTACTCTGAATGGATTGGCATGATTTTTAAAGGTAAAACTTTGAACATCACCATAGCACTATATAATAACATTTGCTATTTAATAACATTTATGATTGAGGGAAAAGGCCCTTCATTTTAAAAGTGACACAAAAACTCATACACCTCCCATCAGTCTTTGTGTTGACAAAGCCCTGTTGACCTAATTCTGAGCCCATCAAGTCTTGGGAAACCCCACCAATTCATGAGTGCAGTGACAGTGGTTAATGCTGACTAACTTCAGCTAAGTATGAGACTTTTGTATCTTACAGGAAGTAAGCAATTGCTGACGTTTGTGAAGAAATTCTTCCAGTGGCCCAAATAGTATTTCTATTGATTTATTTTTCACCTAGCACTAAGCAGCCCTTACTCTGTTTGATGTGGCCAAAAAGAAAAAAAAAAGGAAGAAAGAAAGAAAAGCCACTTGCTGATTCAAAACATTTGTTTCTAGGTGCCAGGTCGACCTGTCATCCCTCAGTAGGGAACAGACGCACAAGCTGGAGCTGCAGCTGGAAGAGGGTGAGGGACACCTGGTGTTGCTCGTCACGCTGACAGCCTCTGCCACAGTCAGTATCTCTGACCTCTCGGTCAACTCTCTGGAGGACCAGAAAGAACGGGAGGAGATATTAAAGAGATATGTACGTATGTAATTCTCCTTCCGGAGTCCTGTGTGACTAGATGAGGTTGTACGCGTGTAACGAGAGTGAAAGATGTGCTTCTGAGGAGAGATCTGAGAGAGGGGCGCAGAAGCAAAGCCGCTGGGCACACGTTCTAACCTTTTCAGCAGTCCTGGCCTTATCACTGAAGTCTAGGCATTCTTTCTTCCCCATAATCCATTCCAGAGCAAGTTCTGGGTTCTGAAATCCTACTCACTGAGATTGTACTCAGTGGTGTTTTGTTTTGTTTTGTTTTTTAATCATGGGGTGAAACTGTTCCCTAAAGAAAAAAATCAAATTCACATACCACTTTAAAATTACCTTTATGACTTTATATACTTGCAATGAATGTTTCTTTGTCTTTCCCAATTTGAAATGGGGTTAATTTGATACTTGATAACTAAAGATTGTTCAGAAAAGTGATTTTTTTTGTTTCATTTGCCCAGGAAAGGCCTTCATTCCCTTAATTTTTAAAATTGAATGTGAAGGGCGACTAAAAGGAACATTCTTCCTTCTGATTAAATGTGGGGTGAGGGGGTACAGTGGGGATCCACTTAAATAACTACCCTTCTCTAATTTTACCAACTCCTTCTCCCTATTTCCCAGTGTCCTCCCAGGTTTCCATGTAGTTACCATGCAGTTTTCTTGAATCAACAGAGAGGGGAGCTCTTACTCCACCATTTTCTCTCTGTGGAGTCTTGGAAAAAGTAAATGCCTGGGTACCCATGAAGCTGAGGAAAAAAGCTTTTCCACTTAAAATTACAAAGCTTGTATTGTACAATGCTGCCAGGTGTTTAGAAGACTCCTCTAGACACTCAGCCATGAAACCAAGCTCTGACTAACAAAGAACGGCTTTAAAAAAATTCCTATTTGCTGACTGACATGCTTTCAATAACTGAATTTAATAAAGATGTACCTTATCAGGCTGTGCAGATAACATGAAGTGCTAGTACTAATGCTCTACAATATTCTTCAAACAGATTAGCAGGATGTGGGCTTCAGCAAATTTATTCTGGCTATCTCCACTGAATCAGCTGTCTGCTAATGCTTGTACAACTTATCCACCAAGAGTGTTATCATAAACAGTTTAATAGAGGTGACTTAGCAAGGCTAAATAGTATATATTTTTAAACCAGCTAAGAGCCGAAGGTATTGTATGACATCTTCTAATATATAATTGCGATTATGAAAATTATTTCACATATTGGTAACCCTACCAAAATGTATTCTCCAGGTACCAGAATTGAGCACCATGAATTAAAACTATTGTAAAGGAATTAATTGGTCTATTAACATAAAAATTAGTCTAGATACTATAATACTGTGGTTAATGGATTACTGTTTTGATATTATTCCACATGTGAAGATAATCCTGAAACCTAGGTAATTAGAAGTAATACATCCATTATTGAATTTTTTATTGCTAGATGGACTTTCCTGAATTGGCCATTTCTATTTAAAAGTTGAATGAATGTTTCTTACCTTTTTTTCAAATATTAGTTATTTCAATAAAAATGTAAGATATTATATAGATGTCCCAGTTACTTTTCAGATTCTGTTCTACTCATTATATTAAAAGGAAGCTTATTGTAATATGCACTGAATTTCAGACATAAGCTTGTACCTCCCTCTAGAGATGTACCAAGAAGTTACAATATGTAAAGTAGCATTGTGTTATAATACAAGAACAATCAGTAATAGTAATTCAAGGGCAAGAAGCTAGAGTTTAGGGCTTCAGTGTGTGTCTTTATTACAGGTAATGTAAAATGAATGCATGTTGTATCATGTTTGAAATAGCAATTGTTTCAAAGAAACATATAAGGGAGGTTACTTGTTCAGAAAATTATTTATATATTTTCCTGTAAGAAAATATGTATTTCTTAAAGTTGTGGTTAAACTAAGGAATTTGATTTGGCGCTGGTCATGGTCAGGAAAGTAGATGTTGTGCCCTACTCTGATAGGAAACAGTACTGAAAACTCCTCATTGCTGTTGCTGAAGCCCCACAAATTTAAACAGACATTCTATGTGAGCCATTATTTGATCACCACATTCTGAAAAGATGGCTAATTCCATTTTTCTTTTTCTTTTTCCTTCTTTTTTTTTTCTTTTTTGGAGGGAGGGAAAGAGGGAAGGTCAATAGGGGGCGGGTAGTAATGGGTAGTAGACCAAGAGCGATTGTATGACCTTTCAGAACGGGTATGCTGAACCCTTGCTCCCCCTTGTCACAGTTTAAAAACCAGAGGAGCTAGTTTAGAGAAGAAGTTGTTAGCATTCCATTTTTATTATGACATTTCACAGTCATCTGATTTAATGTCCCTTGACCGGATTGTCCACCGTGAGACGATGGGCTTGAAATGTTATTTAGAGCATTGATAAAAGGTGAGCGGTTCTAAGATGACAGCGAGTCATAAGGCTGGTGGTGTGACATTAATTTTCTCCATAACAGAGATGGAATAAGACGTCATGGTGACAAGCTGTCAATCAGCTCTGGCCCCTCTGAGCATCACGATACCATAGGACGGGGTATTGCTTCGCCCGTAATAGAGCTGAACTCAGATGCTCGCCCTGACAGCTGCTGCAGCCATAGAGAAAATATATTATACAGGCTTTCATTAAAAAAATAAAGAGGACTCCTCTCCAGAGCATTTCAATCTTTTCCCATCTATTGAGGGCTGAAAGGATTCACAGCAAATCATGGATTCCTCTGCTATGGAAATTTCTGGCTTCAGAAGCCCATCCGGGTTTCGAGGCCTTCTAAAATAACCATAAATAACAAGACGGGAATACCTCTTGAAAAATCATTATGTAAACTTCTATTTTTAAGCCGATACATTTATTTTCTTTTTCTTTGAATTCTTATTATAATCTCCATGTCATTGACCTAACCAGTTGAAATTTGCCATAAATTGCTGAGTGTCAGCTGACTTGGAGAAATGAAACCTTCAAACAATAATTACTCTTCCAAATGAGAAACAGAGCAGCAGAGCTGATGCCCCAGAAGACGGTGTGTCTGTAGAATGAGCTTACCGGGATAAAATGATTCTCAGACTGATGAGATTTGTTTTACTCACAATGAAACTTAGTTTAAATTGCTTCTGGAAAATTAAAGTACTAGAATCTTTTGATAAAAGTATTCCTCATCATTAGGATAGAGAACGTTTCTAGTTTATTACACTGGGTATGCTCTGAGATAAGTCACCTCCCATACTGTATCGATACTGTAGAAACACAACACGCCTGCAAACCTCAGGATTATAATACTGTCATGTACAGCCACCAACATGAAAGCCTTAACTTACAGGAATGTAAGTGGAAAGAGAAGTGCATTTTCACTAAAGCCTGTCATTTGAGTATTTTAAACAGATTTTTACTGATAAATGACTGTTTAAAGACAATAACAGATTAAGAGTTAATCCTTGTGCTGAGAACTATTTTTTTTAAGTTAGGCTGAGATTACATATATCTGTATTTCCTCAGTATACTGAAATCACAGTTTCAGTGTAAACAATGTGTCATCATATGGGACTGACAAGGCCCTGTGCAGGAAGCTCTGTCTCCTCAGTGTTCGCTCATTAGTAATACAAGGATGCGAGTGCTGGAGTACCATTAAGTTTAGTATGTAAATGTGTACTATACTCTCTAGCCATAAAACACTTTAAAGGTGAGGATAAAGGTGGCTTTGATTTTTCTAAGTAGCCGCCCAGATTTCACCTTAAGAAAAACATTGTAATGTGTCAATAAACAAATGCTTATCAGTATCCTACAGTTTCATTTTTACTTTCAAGATATTTGTGCCCATTAATTACGTTGATGCAAAGTTATATAGGTTTTCCTATTCCAAGTCTTTCAAGACCTACATTTATTAAGATATCACAATTAATAATTTATGAAGTAAAGTTGCTTTTTAAATCTGATTCTTCTACCCAAATCTCTATAGGTCTATAGATCCAAAAATACCAAACACTACTATAAAGTAAGAAAAATTAGTGCTTTTGAATTTTACTTTAGTTGCCAAATTGACTTATTTTAAAAGATCATATATTTTAGCCTAAAAGGTTTACAAAATAAGAAGTCCTTTGAATTAATTATTAGCAAATAGTCTTCAGAGGCATCAGCCCTGTCTTAAACTATTAGTAAATAATCTGTAAATAATTTATCTCTTCTCAAGCATATGTACTTTCCAAATCTCATTAAAAAATAGAAAAAAGTAATTAGTTCTGTTTTGATGCCCCATACCCAACAACTTTTGTTTGTCTCTAAATTATCATACATACAGATGAAAGATTTCTTGGAATACTTTTATTAGAGATATTGAAAGACACAAACAGACATATCTACTTTATGCTTTTTATCCTTTATGTAGTATTCATACATATCTATTATTTATGGGAGAATAAATGTGGTAATTTTTATTCTTAGATTTGAAATCATTGATGATTCTCTGTGCTAAGCCAAGAATATTTTCCTAGAAGGGACAAATGAAGCTATTGTTACATTTGACTTGTGAATACCTTTTTTCTAGACAAGTCTAACAAGGCAAACTCATCTACATAATTATGCGTGTACATACATTCACGGTGATGGATGTGTAATCTTTATTGAAGAAACATAAATGATCCTTTGACCCCCCCCCTTAAGCAGCATAAAACTTAGTATTTCCTTAGCACACTCTTTGATATTTCTTAAGAGCTTTCTTTTCTCATACCCATGTTGGGATCTTTTCAGAGCCCATTACGGATATTTCACAACCTAAAAGATGTGGGATTTCTTCAGGTGAAAGTCATTAGAGCAGAAGGCTTGATGGCAGCTGACATGACAGGTAAGAAATTATAAGATTCACCTGTTGTACTTAACAAACAGCATGCAAGGCCTACATCATTGAATAATCCAACTCAGCCTTTCACGTGAGTGAATCATTGAATAATAAATTAAAAATTAAGTCATTAAATTAATTCATTCATTGAAGTAATCTATATCTGTATCTATATATTATATATACTAATATATATTGATAAAGATAGATATTGATTTAAAAAGATATAGACATGGGCATAGGTATATGTTCAGGGTTGAACTCACGAAGATTTTTTTTAGCCTCAGATTTTTGTATTAGATTTTCTTTTTAAGGCAGAGGTAAGATATTTAAGGTAATATATTTAAAATAAAAACAAAAGAATTGCCTAATAATTGCCCTTCCAAAAGTTTAATAAATGTAGTGGGAATAATTTTTTCAGATATTCTCAGTATGGCATATTGAAGCAATGCTGAACCACCTTCTGTCACCAATTTCTCCATAATACAAGCACTTGTAATTCAGATTTCAATGAAATCTGTTGCACAATTCACTGAGAAACTTATATGTATAGTACTCAATAGTTAGTATGAAGTCTTTGTATTAGGTTACTGTTTCAGTTTACTAGTTGTACAAATTCTTCAGCATATCCTGGAGATAATTCTGGGACTAAACTAAAAATCTAGATTATTAGAAATATTTCAGTCAGGAAATAGTCTTGTAAAAGATGCCATAACTTCATCCAAGTTAGTCTTGTCTCTTAAAGCTTCCTGATTTTTGGTACTGTTGTTTCTGTCACATATTAACAGATGGACTAATGGTTATTATCCATTCATGTCTAGAATTAAATAATTGCTTTAAGTTTGCTACTGTGACCATTCATTTATTGTTGAATTTCTTAAGTATTGGGGGGAATGTATGTTAAAGTTATCTACATCTCTAGGCCTGACTTGACCTGTTTGTACAAATTTCACTGTTCTGGAAAATGTCCACTTACTGCTTGTAGAAATATACCTGATATTGTAAATGTTAAGCAAGATGATCCTAAAGAAGTAGCACACATATTGGAAGAAATATACCATCCCATTAGACTCTGGGAAGATAGGAAAACCAAAGTTAACTGCCTTCAAACTAAAATACAGATATCATAATATTCTATGTATAGATGTGAAAATGGAACTAGGAAAATTGAAGGTGATGGAGAATAGATGGGGAGAAAAAGGAAAAGGGTGACATTGGTCAAGATACATTGTACTCAAAAATTGACATGCTAAATTGAAATTCCTGTGTACACATAATTAAAGATAAATAGTAGACGTCTGCCCCCTAAAAGCAATATTTTAAATTTTAGCATTTGCATATTGTCAAATGAGTATATGTGATACAAATAAAACCATTGGATACTTATACTTTTCTTGAAGAAGTAAATATCAACTCATTTGTAGCCAGGAAGATAACAACTGTCAACGTTTTTTTCAAATAGCAATACTTGAAAATCCTGCAAAAGAAGGTAATATGCAATCTCTTTGCATAGTGCTGATTTAGCTTCTTGTATTAAGATATTAATGAACATTGAATTTATCCATTTCTTTTTGGTGAATTTTCTTCCCTGTATGGCTATAATCAAATTAATTTGGGAATGATAATTTCTTGTAGAAAAATTCAAGAACCATCTACTTAGAAAGCTTAGCTACCTGCCCATTATTCAAGCTGACTGCAATTGTATAAGTTTGTCTTTTCTTAGAAAAAGCTGTCCTTGGTTTTAACACTTCATGAATATGCAAACTACGTTAACCTAGTTGGCCTGCATGCCACTAAGGAAGTTAAAGTATATGTTCTTTCAAAGCTGGAAGAAATAGAGATATTTCTTTCTTAGTGGTTCTATGCAAATTGATGTGAATAAAAATAGTCTTTCCCCTAAGGATTCAATGAGACATAATTTTGATTCGATAAAATGAACATTGATTTGGGTAATGCTAAAGAACAGTCTCATTTTTTTCCCTCTAGTTTTAGGGATATAAATCTAATAATTCCTCTCTCTGTGCTGACCTTATAATCTAATGGGCTCTGAATTGAACAAGAACTATTCAGGAGCAAGAGGATAATTCAGACTTGGACCTTGTTCACTCTTAGACCTTTTGTGGTCTTTATGACATTTGTGATGGTGGTAAAAATTGAAGACCATGTATTTAAGTCAGAAATGTCTGAAGATACTACCAATTTTTAAAATATGCTCTACTTCTGAAAAGGATAAATGCTTAGATACATACCAGTGCTGCTAGGTTCATGCTCGTTAATCTGGGACACAAAGAAGCTCTTTATATACTTCATCTCTTACTCATTGAAAGAAGAACTTAGAAGATAAGATATACATCTCAGTAGATAATAACAGTCAACCTCTACATAATATTAATCAATAGTCTGAAGACAGGGAATTGAATGCACAGTGCTGTCTTCAAATAAGCATCACTTAAGGAGTGTTGTGAATGGAGAGGGAGATTTTAAATCACTGATAATCCTTAGAGCTAAGCCAAGAATATTTCTGATCCAGTACAAATGGAGTTTATGGTAAGATATTTCATACTTCCAAATGGCTTTTACTAGACAAGTCTAGCAAGGCAACTCATATTTGACCAACTTTGGTCTATTTTAAAATACATTTAATGATGTCAACATGAAGTTGCACTTTCATGTTTTAAACAAAAATTTTAAATTTCTAATATTCTACTCTTAACCATAAGCAGAAGAGGGAAAGATTCTGTAAATCTTTTAAGTAGCCATCAATCTTACTGCAGTCACAAAGAATTTTTCCCTTTCAAAATGTAAAATTTTTCTTTTGTTACAACACATTCATTGAGAAACATTGTGATACTGTATTAACTCTGTGTGAATAAAGAGCAATTGAGACTCTCTTTGAATGAGTGAGTATAAAGCACAAATTACTTTTTAATGAAACCCTCAATTCTTTCCCTTTCCACAAAAAGCCTATAGCCTTGTTCAGCTGAACACTACTACAGTAGGTCACTTCAGTTAAGCCCCTAATAAACTGTTGATAGTCGAGGGTAGTTTTTTCTTCGGTCTCAATAGCCCAGTGTTGGACGGTGCACTTCAAATCATTAAGGTTAATACAGATTTAAAAAAGAGATTAACTCTGGTGGTTAAGGCCTCAATTTACAACTCCCACACATACACATGCATTGAGCAAAGCACCAGAGTGGATTGAAATTTCAGTCAAACTGTGGGTAGCTTTTCACAGCCTGAGAAAGTGGCTGGAAAAGTTGGTTGGCTAAATTCTTCGCAAGGGAAAAGTTGGAGTCACTAAGAAATATACTCCGTACAACTTACTTACCTTTTAGCTAACCACTGAAAAGGTTAATGTTTTTCTGCACCACCAGAGCAAAACCTAGAGATTGTCTCCCCCTATGTTTACTGGGTTAGAGTCTCTCAAACGTTAAATTGCATGTTCCTTAAAACTGGACAGATTGTGAGAAAAGAAAGGCCAATGGGATTTTTTTTTCTTTTTTCTTTTCTTTTTTTTTTTTTTTTGGGGGGGGGGTGCTGTGGTGGGAAACGGTTGGTCTTGTAATTTGTCTTTTCTAGCTTCTAATTATTCCTTTTCCTTGAGCAAGGCCTAATTTCTGTTTTCAACAGAACATTTCAAGCCTTCTATATTGAGTGGGGCTTTCTTTGCAGAGTTATTTAGACCTGGCCTATTGGGTCTTTCAAGTTCTAAGAGAAGAAAAAGAAAAGAGTTCTTCTCCTCAGCCCCTCCCCTTCATTTTCCCCTGGGTTGTATTTTTTTTCTCCCTTCTCCCCAGGAAGAGGTCGTAGCCTCCCCAGGGAGCCCAGACACTCAGCCACTCAGTTTCAGAAACAGTGATATGGGAAGACTTCAAAAGAGACCCTACCTTTCCACTGTATTAAAAGATACACCAATATAAAACTGGTTCACCCCAGGTGAATTGATTTCACAAATTAATGCCCCATCCCTTTTCAGGAAACAATAGAGGGAGAGGGAGAGGAAGAGGAAAAGGAAGAGAATTTTACACTTAATAGAACCTGTCATTGAAATTGTCCCATTAAAGGATCATATTATTTTTTCCCTCTAAAACAATCCCATGAAGACTTCCACCTAATCAGCGCTATAGTCTGGAAGTTATTAAGAGAGATGTTTACTACGCCTTTATTTGCATAGGCTTTTCCCATGTTTTCCTTTTGGAAAACTGTCTTCATTGTTGGAAAATATTTAAGTAACAAAACAGTAGAAAAAGACATGCTACAGTTTTGTGGGTTTTTTTTTTTTTATCAGCTTCCGTGAAAGTCTTATTATCTTAAGAAATAACAGTTAGCAGCTCAGATTCATTAGCAGAGCTAAATTTAAGCCCCATTTGACAGGCTGCCTAGAAAACATTTTGTTTTGCTGTCTGTGGGCTTTAATTAAGATGTGTTCAATTTCAGTCCTCTTCAGTCTGGCCCCCACCCCCAACTTGCTGTGTCACAGACCGGCGATCAGACACTTTCAGATGGTCCAGCCCATGACTTTGACCTTCTGCGCAGTCCGGCGTTCCCTGGGGAACCGTTCAACTCATGAGGTCTGATTTCACACTTCCAGGATGCCTCAGCTCTCTTAACAATGACAGGGAGACAAAGCCCTTTAGAGCAGGCCGCATGGGGACTTGTTTAAATTGGAAACCAGAGAGGAGTCAAGGAACAAGGTTAGGGGCTAGAGAATAGTGCTTTTAATAAAGAGCTCACAGCTCTGGCTCAGCTCAAAGAGGTCTACCTCTGTACAATTAATTGAGCCATTTATCTGGAGCATCTTAGGCCTCTACTTTCTCACAGAATTGCGTGGTAAATATCAGCTAAGAAGCAAATGAGATATGCATGAAATGAATTTTAACACTTTGATTACTGTGCCTCCAGTCTTCATTAAAAGTAAATTTATTTGTATTTCTGACCTCATTATCAGTAGGCTGTCTGCATTTTTATTGGTTCCTATGATTTCCAGCTTGAGTGTGTCATGAAGG